GTAAGTTCTTTATATTTTGGATACTAACCCTTTATCTGATATGTCATTTGTAAATATCTTCTCTCATTCCTTTTTGTAATGAGAGGATTTGTAAATATCCTCTCTCATTGCCTTTTAGTTGTGCTGATTGTTTCCTTCGCTGTGCAGAAGCTTTTTATTTTGATGAGGTCCCAGTAGTTTATTTTTTATTTTGTTTCCCTTGCCTCTGGAGATGCGTTGAGTTAGAAGTTGCTGTGGCCAAGATCAAAGAGGTTTTTGCCTGCTTTATCCTTGAGGATTTTGAGGCTTTCTGTCTTACATTTAGGTCTTTCATCCATTTTGTGTTTATTTTTGTGTATGGTATAAGAAAGTGGTCTCCAGGTTCATTCTTCTGCATGTCGCTGCCCAGTTTTCCCAGCACCACTTGCTGAAGAAACTGTCTTTTTTCCATTGGATATTCTTTCCTGCTTTGTCAAAGATTAATTGGCCATACATTTGTGGGTCCAATTCTTGAGTCTCTATTTTGTTCCATTGATCTGAGTATCTGTTTTTATGCCTGTACCATACTGTCTTGATGATTACACTTTTGTATTACAGCTTGAAGTCTGGGATTGTGATGCCTCCTGCTTTGGTTTTCTTTTTCAAGACTGCTTTGGCTATTTGGGGTATTTTCTGGCTCCATACAAGTTTTAGGATTGTTCGTTCTAGCTCTGTGAAGAATGCTGGTGGATGGAACTAAAACGGATTATGCTAAGTGAAATTAGTCAGTCAGAGAAAGACAAATATCATATGACTTCACTCATATGAGGGCTTTAAGACACAGAACAGATGAACACAAGGAAAGGGAAGTAAAAATAATATAAGAACAGGGTAGGGGGACAAAACATAGATACTCTTAAATATGGAGAACAAACAGAGGGTTACTCGAGGGGTTGTTGGAAGGGGGATGGGCTAAATGGGTAAGGGACATTAAGGAATCTACTCCTGAAATCATTGTTACAGTATAAGCTAATTTGGATGTAAATTAAAAAAAAAATAGAATTAAAGAAAAAAGAATATATTTTCTGGGATGCTCAATATTTCTTCTTTCCTAGGAACAATAACATACCCTCCATAAATTTACCTTTAAAGCGCTTTCACCTCTCAATCTAATTTCATCTCTGTGAGTTATTATCCATGTTAAGTAAATACCTTGTCTTTGTTTATACACTTAGAATTTTAGCTATTTAAGAAGTTAGAAATAAAGATTACATAGTCAAGAAATACATTAACTTGTAACTTGCCTGGTATCCAAGTCCTACCTTAGTGCTGAATAAGGCCATCTGATGGGAACAAGTCAGAGTGGTTACGTTGCTATGATAAGTTGAATTCAGGATGGAAGCACTTATAAAGGAATATACCTTAGGCAGCCCCCTTCCGACTACCCTAAGGTAGCTTTAATTTCTAAGGGGATCTGATAAAAAAGATCTTTATCCCCTTAGAAAGATAAGTGCAGTCAATATCATTTTCATGTATGGAAATCAGTAATTCCCTTAGTAACAATTGAGTCAAATCACTTCATATGTCTGGCAAGAGCAATTCTAGTATATATTGGAACAACTAAAAGTAACAGCTGGCCCATATCAATTGTGTGAAAAGATAGGCTTGGAAAGTACATTCATCTTTAGGATGCTGAGACACTCTTACAAACACCAGCAGTGTGAACATTTCTGTCAGCATGCCAAAGAGAAAGAAAAACTGACTAAACACTAATACCATTTATGATCATGTATAGAACTGACATAGAATTGAAAACAGCACATAGCATATAGAGTGGTGCAATCTTCCTGTCAAATGCTTCATTATGCTTTCTGTAACTTAAAATAAAAACTAATCTCCTTGAGAAGTGAAATAAAAGTCTCCAAATACAAATTTGTTTGAGAATGTAGGAATTTCCTTTTTTTTTTAAATGTAGAAGTTATGTACCGAACAGGAAATGTTGGTAGTGGAAAATTGGACCTCTCAATGGGCTATGCAGATAATCTGTATAGAATCTATGAATTTAATAGACTTTTTTTCATGGAAATTCACAAAGCTAGCCTTAATAATTTCTGAGAATATCCTTAGTTATTTCAAAACCACCAGCAACTCTAGGGCCATCATGTTGCATAACTCTAGGGGAAAATAGACCAAAGTGAGTGGCATCCTCTGGAGCTATGTAAAGCAGTAGTCTTAAATAACAGTTTAACAAATAGGTGGTGGGTGGGATATGTCTGCCAGGTCACTTGGATGATTTCTACTTTGAAAAGATTGATAATCAAATATGTTAAAATAAGATTATTGAGGAAGGATGAGTTATTTGATGTGGAGAGATGAGACAAGGTGAAACTAATTTAGTTTGAAATTTTCTAAAGCGCTTCCTAACAATTAAAAAAAAACCTTCTTGGGTATTTAGAGCAGAATAAGATTTAAAAATCTACATTTTTTTCTACTATCAGGCAAATAATAAGGCCATCAGAGTACTACCTGGTTAGGAAGGAAAAGGAAGACCTGCATCTTCAAATAAGATGGAAGGCCAAGTGTATTTTTGATGGGTGAATGGCTTTCAAGTGCAATTTTACTATCTGTAAATTAAAAAAGCCTTAAATAGCAATAGTTTACCACACTCTCTTATTTGAATAAATTATCTTAGAATGTTCAGGTGCTAGAGATGAGAGAGAGAGAAGGAGAGAGAGAGAGAGAGATATCAACTTGTCACCTATAATGAATGACTTAGCAAGTAGCCACAATATTGCTTTAGGAATTTTAGAAAATAATTAAAAAGGAAAAAGTTGACCAGTACTCAGCTAGCTACATGAATACCTGTATATTCATTATACCATATCATTCTTGTTTTTATTTTGGCCTGGCTTTTTCAATGTTATTTGAAATTACAGATTTTCAGCATTTGAATTGTGAAAAGAGTAAATTTAGATTAAGAAATTAGAAGTACCAATTATTTATCATCTGAGTTTTAAGTAGAGGAATCTAAAATCTACAAATTATTACCATTTTATAGTAAATAATTTTTAATTTTTTTCTTGACAAGAAAGTAAATAATTTCCCCTAATATAACTTCCCTTTGATTGTGTTTGCTTTGTAGAAGAGTTTGATTTTATTTGCAGCAAAATTTATTTCAAGCATTCACTGTGGTATTAGATGAAGGTTTATCAAAATTTAGAGTTATTGTCAAGAGATTCAAATGGTAGGCTGAAGTTTATTTCTCTCCTTATTCACTTTGGGATTGACTATGAAGAATCAAAGTGGATTCTTTCCCAAACCTGCTTTGCTGTAGTTTTGTAACTACAAAGCTATAAGCTATGACTTTGTGTAAAAGACAGTAAAGACATAAGAAATAATAGAAAAAAATATTTGGGTAAAGTATTAACCAGTTCACACATAGTATATGCATTTTTGAACAACCCACTAAATGATTTTTCAAAAATATTTTTAACTGAGGTACCTTGCTATGGGGGTGAGAACAACTTCATATAAAAACTTCCTCAAGCTTCCAAATTTTGTTACTGCTATTATTTTTTAAAGTTATGTTATTGCAAAGGAAACAACCTTTTCTCAAGCCTATTATACAACATTTTGGGAAAAGCATTATGTTGATATAATCCAATATTGAAAGAGGGTGAAAAATAATATATGAAATAAGTGGAATTTTACAATGCAAGAGTCATGAGCCAATGTTCTTTAGAAGAATGAGTTTTGAATTGTAACCAAGAGACCTGGATTCTGGTCTCTGTCAACTTCTATTACTAATGGAGAATTAGTCATTCTCTTGCTTAACTGACTGAGCCACCCAGGCACCCCAAGTCATTCTCTTTCAATCTACATTTATTAAAAAAAATAGAAATAAAAATGTCATTGGTGGTAGTTGCTTATAAACCTAAAACATACCATAACAACAAATAAAACAAACAACCCTCCAATTAGCCACCTATCCAATTTTTCCTTTTCAGGAATTACAGGAGGAAGAGATTTTATAGATATCGAAAGTAAATTTGCTCTAAGGACCCCTGAAGACATAGCTGAAGATACTTGCCACCTCATTCCTGGAGTGACAGAATCTGTGGCTAACTGCCACTTCAACCACACCAGCAAAACCTTTGTGGTGATCCATGGCTGGACGGTAAGACAGTCTTTTTAGAAAAGAGATTGGGGTGACCCAGGCATCTTGACCCCGTGATGAGTTGTTGGGAACCCTGTGATGAGTCTTCATATATCCTGTACTTCTGCTTGCTTTCCTATGGCCTTACTTCATTTTTATTAAAAAAAAAATTTTTTTTTAATGTTTATTCACTTTTTGAGAGACAGAGCATGAGTGGGGGAGGGGCAGAGGGAGAGGGAGACACAGAATCCAAAGCAGGCTCCAGGCTCTGGGCTGTTAGCACAGAGCCTGGTGCGGGGCACAAACCCATGGACCGTGAGATCATGACCTGAGCCACCCAAGCGCCCCTCCTATGGCTTTACTTTAAACTTGAGTACAGGCAATTCTGGCTCAGGGTGGGATTATGGAATCTAAAATCACAGGTTCATGAGTATTTTCCCCCAGATAGTGCCTACCTTCATTTTACCACAGTCCCTAGTTGGTGCCCTTGAATCAGCCATTCTTGTGAGTTGGGAAAACAAGGCTTTGCTCACCTACAGAGCAGAATGTACATTTTCAGTTTAGGAAACCAGTACACACCTGGTATGATCCTGATTCATGTAGCACATTGCCAAAGCACATGCTTTCCTAAAGGAAACAACCTGTCAGAGGGAGGAGAGGGTTAGAGTGGAGTGAGGAAGTATTGATTCTGGCTCTGGCTTTGCCATTCTCCAGCTCTGTGAAGTGACTGATGCTACTTCTTATCTCTGGGCCTCAGTTGACTGATGTGTAAGACAAAGAGGTTAGACTAGTTGTCCCTCTACTTCCAACATTCTCCAATTGTAAACTTTAGGGAACTTTTTTATAGATGACAGAGGGCTAGCCAGGGAAGTGTCATGCAAAATGATTAGAAAAGGTGAAAACTGTGGTTACATTTAAAGAATGTGAATAGGTGATGTGGATTAAGGAGTGCACTTGTGATGAGCACCAGATGTTGTATGGAAATGTTGAATCACTAAATTTTACACATGAAACTAATATTACATTGTATGTTAAGTAACTGGAAATTAACTCTTAAAAAAAAGAAAACAAAAACAACAAAATAAAGAATGTGAATAAAGTAGTACTCTCTAAATATGTGGCAGTCACTTTACATGGTTCAGTTCTTACTTAACTACTTCAGTTGGTTTTTAATATTTTAAAACCCCAGTTAGCAGATTTCATCTTTTATATAAAAAGGAGTTATATAAAATGGGACGTTAAAGAGAAATTATCTTTCCATTATGTCGGAGCTTGTGAATATAGTAAAGATACTAAATATATTCTAATGAGATGAATTAGAGAAGGATTGATAGACTTCTAGTCTTGACTTATTTTCCTGTGTAACTTAAGTACCATTCTTATTAACAATATAGGATAATTGCTATAACTTTATGGAGATGAAGGTGACTACTAACAGAATTTAGATGGATGTTTATTTTTTAAACATCTATTTACTAAGTTAACATAAATTACATATCTTATGATAAAATTATATATTCAAATTATTAACATGGATCTTTTTATATTTAAGAGATTCAAAAAGAAAAAGTAATTGTTGGTAGTTTTAGAGATGTTTTGATTGTATATAGAGTTTTAATACCTTTGTAAAAAGTAAAATAAGCTTAATAAACATTTTATATGGCACAATAAATTGAATGTCTCAGACCTCACATTCTTATCCCCTGAGAGAACTTGATGCGTTAAGAATTTTTAAAAAGCATAGTTCCTTCTCATGCAAAGATGACATAACTAACCCAGTATCAGTATATAGTGCCAATTTCTATTATGGGTCCTTCTGCCCACTAAACCCATCATATTCTTCATATCATGTGTCCTGATATTTTGAATGCCTGAGCTCAGAGGCTAGGCCATTGGCTGTGGGACTGACTTTCATCATAAAAAGCTAGCTGGTTGGTCTATTCAGGAACTAATCTAGCCATAGAAAGGCTTCAGTTCAACTGTGAATCTGAGAATCAAAGATTTAAAAACTTTGTGCTGATTTAAGGAACCTTAGAAAAAAACCCTAGAAAAACTTTTTAGAGTTAAAGAAGGTTTCTTTTACACCCCTTTGTTCAGGGGTACTTACAGCAGTATTTTATGTTGAATTAAAAAAGAAAGGAGTATCTGTTGGGATGAGCACTGAGTGTTGTATGGAAACCAATTTGACAATAAATCTCTTATTAAAAAATAAATAAATAAAATAAAATAATACAAAAAATAAAGTTCTTCCTATGATTAAAAAAAGAGAAAGGAGTAGATTCATTTTTAGACAGTTAATAAAAGTATCAGTCACTGTAGAAATAAGTTGGGTTTTTTGCTCTTTGATAGATTGCTTAACTTGGAAACAGTGATAGTATGGAAAAACTTATAATAGGAGCTTAGAGCAAGCAAGATTTTTCTGCCTTATCTGAGGTAAGCTGTTCAGCAACTCAAGGTCATAAGACTAAGGGAAATGGGGAAATTCTTTAGTTTTGCCATGGAAAATCCAAAAGAATGCTTAGCATGTAGTATGCTTAGGGCACATCCCAGAAAGCTGTTTAGACACAGCTGTCCTGGAGCTTTGCCACCTGCTTAGGTTTCATAGACCAGTGCACTAAGCACAGAGTTCTCATTGTGGTAGGAGGCCCTCACGCCAGCTGAAAGGAGGAGTGGTTAATGTTTCATTCTGAAGAACTGACATCATCCTCTCTTGAAAGGCAGTTGAAAAGTGTGGCAAACCCCCAACCACTAAGAGAGGAGAAGAGAAGACAGGACCAATTCACAGGAATTTGAGGCTAGGTCGGTGTTCTAGCCTGTTTCCTCAAAGACCCAGACTGTGCTTAGACTTAAAGCAGCCTCACCGAAACATGTTCAAAGAAGGTTTATTAAATGAGTTTCTAATGAGCCAACGTCACCTTTGTACCTTTTTTTTCTTTTTTTTTTTCTTTTTCTCTTTATGCTTGAAATGGCAATAGCTTTAATTATATCACTGCAGGTAGATTGGAAGTCAGAATGGTTGCAAGAAGACATTTATTAGGTGGTGGGTAACTTCAAGATCATCTGAATCCAACTCCTTTGTTTTGTAGGTGTCCTAAAAGGTTAAAACAGTGCCTACATTCATAGAAGTAATTATTGGAAGAGCTGGGACTGGAACCAAGATCTCCTGAGTTTCAGGCTTGCTTTTTCCTACCACAGCAATGAGGTGAAAAATTGTGCAGTTGTTAGTGTCAGGAGTGAAACAAGAACTCAGGTTTTGATAGTTTTAGTCTAGAGAATAAAGTAAACAAAATGGAAGCATAAATCTGAAAGAATCCACCATATAAGATCAAAGTTCCAAATGAAGCCCACTGGTTTGGGAATTCAAGACTCCTATATTTGCTTTTGGAATTATTCTAAGAAGAATATAGGTTTTATAGATCTCCCTTCAAAAGCTGCCTTAAACATATATTTCAGAACCTTCTTTGTTGAGTACGTATTTGAGTAACTTTTACTATGGCTACAATATGATTTCTATCAGGTCATGGTAGAGGTGGGGAGATTTGGGGATTTGAATCAAGTTACTGCTACATGCAGGCTCATGGAACGATGGTGGAGAATTTTATAATGTGCTTTTTTAAAAATGTGTTTTGATTATTTTAAAGTGTGCATCTTTGCAGAAGTGTCTGATGTCCTCTCTGAAAGCATAAATTAAAATTTTACATAAAAAAAGTTAATGTGAGAACTCTATAGTTCTTTTGACTTTGAATTTTGGGGCTTTCTTAAACAAGAGGTAAAGAATTACAGTTGGCAGTATCCTTATCTCCAGAGCCAATCTAATTTGAGAAATGTGACTATTAAACCTCATTAATTTCCACTCTGAAAATTAAGAATTTGAGAGAACTGTAAAAAAAAATCTGAACTGAAACTGATCATTTTCTTATGTATTAACAAACAGATTGATAAATAAATTTACCTTCTGTTAGAATTAGCGTGCTTAAAACTTTTTTTCATCAGCACATCAAATGTTGTATGTAAATAAATGACTCTTAAGAAAAAAAAAGTGCATTCACATCCTCCAAACTAATTTTGTTGGGAATAAGTTATTAGCCTAGTTGAAAGTAATTTAATTAAATTATTATAAAATAGTCTATAGCTCCAGTGCAAAATTTTAACTTATTCAGATTGATCTTTCATATAAATTACTGGTTTTACAGAATTCATAAACCAAGCTTTTAAAAATTGGTGGTGTGAACCCTAGTCTGCCATTCCTCACCTCAACACCCTTCTTTGGCATACTCAAATTTGCCTCATAAAGGGGAGTCACAAGTCTCTGAACACTGTTTTGCATAGTTTGAGTTTTCTTCCTGAGTTAATGGACAACCTTTCAGATTTGTTTGTTTTCTTTCCATTCAGCGTAAGTATATTAGGCTGTCATATCTATAACAAGTTGTATGTGGGTATTTTAAGAAAGCTTGCATCATCCTTTTCAGGTGACAGGAATGTATGAGAGTTGGGTGCCAAAACTTGTGGCTGCCCTGTACAAGAGGGAACCAGATTCCAATGTCATTGTGGTGGACTGGCTGTCACGGGCCCAGCAGCATTATCCAGTGTCTGCGGGATACACCAAGCTGGTGGGAAAGGATGTGGCCAAGTTTATCAACTGGATGGCGGTAAGATTGGGGGAAGAAGCCTTACATGTCCAAAACAGATCTCTTGGCCAGAGTGGGACAAATGGCTGGTCTTTGTTACTTTTCATCTGGGGAAATTCAAATCTTCAGAATAAGCATGGTTATTTTTCAGCCAGAAAGCAGTATTATGATAAGAATGATAAAACTGTAAAGCCAAAGCATAGTCCTGCCCTTCCCTATCGATATTCTCATAGTGAATGGATCTGGTGAGACCAAGAAGTGACTGGGCAAAACAGACAAAAGCTTGTTATTTCAGGGCAAAGGGAAGATGTCAGGTTCAGCCAAATCCTTCCTTCCCAGTTGACTGGCACATGGAAATGTTATCTTGGCTTTGACCCATTAGAATACCAATCTCTTTCATGAAAGTATTAATAATACCTATTGCTTAGTGTAGATTAAAGATCCAGATTTTTGTTGAGGGTTAGGGGAGTGATGGATTTGAGCTGGGAAGAAACTGGCAAGAAAAGTCTGTAGATATGAGATGGCTAAGGGTCAGGACTTCTGACTTAGCTGCCACTTTTATTCACTTTTTTCCTGAGGTCATCCTCTGAAAATTATCTTTGAAATGTATCTTGGCATTGGTTGAAAGGAAGCTAATACTCTGACAGGGCCAAAATATTTAAGCCAGATATGTGGAGGTAAAAAATAAGCTGTGTTTATTGGACTGACTGTTAGAAGATAAAAGTTCTTGGGGTACCTGTGTGGTTCAGTCGGTTGAGTGTCCAACTCTTGATTGTAGCTCAGGTCATGGGCCCAGGGTTGTGGGATTGAGCCCTGCATTGGGCTCTTGCCCTGAGTGTGGAGCCTGCTAGAGATTCCTTCTCTCTCTCTCTCTCCCCCTCTCCCCAACTTGAGCACACTCCCTGTCTCTAAAACTAAAGAAAAAAGAAGATTAAAGCTCTTTTCTTGACTCTTTTGCCTATCAGGAAAGTGAACCTGGGGAAATCAGATCACCTGCCTCGACCTCAGGCTTATTATCTATTGAATAAAGAGGATGGACTATATGTGTCTGCGATCCATTCCTGCTATAATATTTTCTGGTTTTAAGACATTTCCTGGCTAACTTAAAGAATAAAGTGATGTAGGGTATTTAGAGTAGGGAATACTGGCTTAAAGTTAAATATATATTTAATATATGTGTGTATCTACATATAGATACACACACATATACATATATCTACATATAAATATACAGCTATACATACACATGTACATGCATACATATATTTTCAGATAAATGAAAATTCACATTTCCATACATTTCAATATCAGATGTATGGAAAAAGTTTGTAACTTAAATATGTTGTTAAAGAAAGAGAAAATCTCAACACTAAAGTGTTTCTTTGATCTATACCACAAAATTTAAATAAGTAGAATTAATTTTCAGTATAGCCTGCATTTCCAAAACAATATTTTTCATTTAGTTTTGATCTTTTGTACAGAACTGTAAGAACCCCTTTTTTCTTTTTCTCTTCCAAAGGAGGAATTTCACTATCCTCTGGACAATGTCCATCTCTTGGGATACAGCCTTGGAGCCCATGCTGCTGGCATTGCAGGAAGTCTGACCAATAAGAAGGTCAATAGAATTACTGGTAAGAAAGCAGTGCCAGTAGTCTATCACAGAAGAGTCGAGATGCCTGTCCTTTGGAAATAGAATAAAAATGTTTGTCAAATATATCTATATGTGTGTGGTGTTCCTCTCTGCTTGCCAAGCCATTTGATTATATTATGGGAGCACTTTTTTTCTGGAGAAGGAGAGAATATGGGCACTAGCTGTCCTAGACATACCACCTACTGTCAGAAGAAAGAGCAGAGTTAAGCACAAAAAGCCCAGTGGTCTCTGGGAAGCTCATTTCCATCCTCCCGGGCTCTGTGCTTTGGTGTTATGTATGTCACATTTCACATCAGTACTGGGATAAATGAAAAAGGACCAACACCAGAGCCTGTTTGGAAAAAAGAAGGCAGTCAACCAGGGCAAAGGTAGTAGATGATTTGGCATGCATAAAGAAAAAGAACGAACTCACCACTCTTTGAAGTCCTTCTCAACAGGTTCAAAAGTAATTTACAAAAGGAGATCTAGCTGTTCTGAATGAAATTGCTATTTAATAGCAAGTTTCAGAGACTCAAATTCCTTTCAGAAAGAGCTAAGCCTACTTCTATGACTCTCAGTAACTTAATGATCCAATCACTAGGATAAGGAGCTAATAAAAATCTATGTGGCTGCCAGTTACATTCAAATGATGAACAATCGAATGCCAAGGTGACATTAGCATTGTCTAATGCTAATGGAGACTAAAATTAATGGGAATTAAAAAATATGTGAAGTCTTTTTTTTTCCCCCTCATTAAGGACTAGATCCAGCTGGACCTAACTTTGAATATGCAGAAGCTCCAAGTCGCCTTTCTCCTGATGATGCAGATTTTGTAGATGTCTTACACACATTCACCAGAGGGTCACCTGGCCGAAGTATTGGAATCCAGAAACCAGTAGGACATGTTGACATTTATCCTAATGGAGGCACTTTTCAACCAGGATGTAACATTGGGGAAGCTATCCGTGTGATTGCAGAGAGAGGCCTTGGAGGTAAATATGATTTAGAAGTTAATTAAACATAAGTGTTGTTCTTAATTCTTATTGACCCAGTCTTCTACCCATTCCCCACAAGTATGCAATGTGTATGCAAATGTGTATATTAAAGTATACACATTTAGCCAAGATAATTTCTGAAGAAGCTATCATATTCAGCATAATCGCCTTTATACCTTAGTACTTCCTTTGATCAGATAGACAAACATTTTTTTTTCTTTTATGTATTATATTATAGAGTACAATACTGAGTGAGTGAGTACTGAGCTTCCAGAGATAAAAGAAAAGAAAGGTGAGATCTATACAAGAAAACTCCATTGCCTTGGATAATAGCAGCATAAAATGACTTCTGGCACATGTTGTTATATTCTGAATATAGTTGTGAAACCATAAGGTTTATTTTGAATTGATTGAAAATAAAGGGCATGTTAATTAGTCCAAATTAATTTTGTTAGCCTTTTAGAGAGAAAGTAAAAATAGGAAACAAATCGCCATTCTCTAAAAATAAATATTCCAAAATTTAAAGAAGAAAATATAATTTAATATTGTCCTAATATTTACTTGAATAATCATGTTTGTGTTAAATTTGTAATTTGTTTTAAGGGATCTTTGCATCCTTTGTGGGCAATTAAACTTACCTGTAGATATTGACTATAGGTCTTTTGTGCACATGTTATAGGACTTACAGCATAATGCTACTATTTTTAATTGTTATAGAAGCTTATGGTAATAGATACACTTTTATTACATTACTGATTATTTCTGTGATTCATTTAATGCAAAAATCAGTAGTGACACAACCTCCAATTATACATAGAATCTATGTTAAAATACTATTCATTTAATAATTCTGCCTTTTGTGATATTGTTTCTAGGTCCATGTAGAAGTATTTTATGTTTTCAATATAAGAGAAGGATGTGACAAACTGGGGGAAGTCAACTTCTGCCTTGAATGTCTCTTACTTAGATCCTCATAAACATACAAATATAAGACAGCAGAAAGTCAAAAATTCTCTGCAAATTTGCAATTTTAACACTCTTAGAGATAGGTAAGAAACTCCCATCAAGAGTACCTCCTTAAATAGGACTTACATCAAGGAGTCATAGGACTAGATTCTTAGGTAATTTTATTCTGACACCACATTTAACTAGTTTAGACATGTGAGATGAAACACTCATTGTGGACTTTCATGGAATTAAATTTTCTTTTTGTCTCTTGTTCTCCAGATGTGGACCAGCTAGTGAAGTGTTCCCATGAGCGCTCCATTCATCTCTTTATTGATTCTCTGTTGAATGAAGAAAACCCGAGTAAGGCCTACCGGTGCAATTCAAAGGAAGCCTTTGAGAAAGGGCTTTGCCTGAGTTGTAGAAAAAACCGTTGCAACAATTTGGGTTATGAGATCAATAAGGTCAGAGCCAAAAGAAGCAGCAAAATGTACCTGAAGACTCGGTCTCAGATGCCTTACAAAGGTAGGCTGGAGAATGTTGTAAATGAGGAAAATCAGTTTGATCATATTTTTTTATCACACTCATTGCATCACATGTACTGAGTCTGTCCATTACAACAGAAGTAGTGCAATGATTTTATTAAACCCTGAACCCTCACTGTATTTCTGTTGCTAGAGAGGGAGTTGTACTGGTCCATTTTACTGAAGCTCTCAATTCACATTGCCAGTAAGGCCCAGGGTACAACCTGCATTAACCTCTGTAATAGTCTTGCTTGCCACCCTTCTCTGTAATTGTGACCATTAGCATGGGCTAGCCCATTAGAACCAGGCTCAGAGCTCATTTGAAACCATCTGTCTATCCAGGGCCAGAAAACCAAGGCCCAGGAGGCCAAATCTAGCCCCTTACCTGCTTTTGTAAATAAAGTTTTATTAGAACACAACTACACACATTCATTTTTTGTTTTTAATTGACTAAGGGTGATTTTGTGCTACCACAGTTAAGTAATTGGGACAGAGACTGTATGGCCCACAAAGCCTAAATTATTTACCATCTGGCCCCTCACAGAAAAGGTTTGCCAACTCCTAAAGTTTGCTTTAGGCAAGAGCTATCTGTATTTTAAAATTCAACTATTCCTGGGAGAGAGAATATACCAAACCTGTAAGATATTTCCATTTTGTCATTAATTTGTTCCCAGGTGAATTTCAAACTTGGCAGCTTATTTAGAGCAAGATTTATACAGATTGAGGGGAGACAAGAAAGGAGATAATTAGGTAAATCTAGCAAGAGGAACTAATCCAGAAAAGCTAATTTATGTGGAGTCCAGGGAGAAGTCCAGGGGAAGGGATGATACTGAAATACAGTTTTCCAAGGTAAAAATGTATCTGATAGAGGCACCCACTTGTAAAGTGTGTTAGAACTTCTGTAGAGGTGCATTTGGTTGCCCAGAGGTTTAGAGCAGCAATAGTTCAAGGAAACCTTTTAAGCAACGAGGAAACCCTTAGTTTCCCTGACTTTTCAGAATGAGAAAATGTGTGTGAGGTAGAGAGGAGGGTGGAATCTTTTGGAGACCTGGTGGGTATTACTCATCCCCAGGCATCCTGCTCAGTGCCATGCAGTGCTCTATCACTGTTCTTGGGGTCACTGCAGCAGTATCAACTTCTCCTGCTCTGGTCTATGGTGAGTCCTGCAAGGGCTCCACTGAAGAGAAACAGTTTCTCTTCTACTCGTTAGTAGCTGTGTGTTAAGCCTGCTGTGTTTCTTATCTCCTTAACCTCCCTCCATTCCATCTACACAGGGGTTTTAGTAGAGATAGAGAGAACAGGGAGGAGATGATGTAGAAGTTCAAGTACTTGCTTCCAGAAGCTCTCCCAAACACTTTAAGAACTGGCAGTCTTTATAGCTTCACTGATGATTCAATGAATAAGTTTTATTGTGAGCCTGCTATAATATCTACTCTGTGCTAGATGATGGGGGGATAAAAAGGATAAACATGATCCTCTGACCTGAAGGAATTTACACATAGGGTAGAGTGTCAGACATACTCATAAAGCATGAAAAAACACAATCACAGTGTTCCATTAACAAATGCCAAATATGCTTTATACAGATATTCAGGGACAAGATGGCCAAGGAAGGGTATAGTTCATGAAGAAAGAATCATGTGTAGTTTGGTTTCTTGATTTGATTTCCCTTGTACCCAATCAAAGATGACTACAATCTAGGGCTGCTTGACAATTCAGATATACCTAGATTCTTCCTATGCACTGAAATCACACTTTTCTAAAAAGGAGTGGAATTCAAGGTCTGATAATTTGAGTAACAAACACTGTACAGACATGAAGAAATCTTTCCAAGCCACAGTGATGGTTGTGTGCGAGCACTTCTTATTTAATCACTAGTGAGGTAGTCTGTGGTTCTGAATTGCCTGCTTATTTGGGGGCTGTGATGTTTCCATAAAAACTGATTAGCACTTGTTCCAATTTTTTCCTTATAGTCTTCCATTACCAAGTAAAGATACATTTTTCTGGGACTGAGAGTGATACACAGACCAACCAGGTCTTTGAGATTTCTCTGTATGGCACTGTGGCTGAGAGTGAGAACATTCCTTTCACCCTGTGAGTAACCACTTGGCATTACCTCCAGCATGTGGGTTTATCATGGCCCTGCTAACTGCCTTTGGTCCCTTGAACAGAAGAAGAGTAGAAAAAGAGATATTCAACAGAATTTTTAAAAAGTGTTTTATTTATGCAATTTGAGAGAGAGAAAGAGCATGAGCAGGGGAGAGACAGAGAGAGAAGGAGAGAGAGAATCCCAAGCAGGCTATACACTGCCAGTACAGAACCTGACACAGGGCTCAATCTCACAAACTGTGAGATCATGACCTGAGCCAAAATCAAAAGTCAGATGCTTAACCAACTAAACCACCCAGGCGCCCCACAACAGAAGTTTTTTAAAAAAAAAAGCTTTATGGAGACACCTGGGTGGCTCATTCGGTTAAGCGTCTGCCTTCGGCTCAGGTCATGATCCCGCGGTTCGTGAGTTCGAGCCCTGCGTTGGGCTCTGTGCTGACAGCTCAGAGCCTGGAGCCTGCTTCAGATTCTGTGTGTCTGCCCCTCCCCTACTCATGTTCTGTCTCTCTCTCAAAAATAAAATAAACATTAAAAAATTAAAAAAAAAACTATGACAAAAGATATTCACATTGTGCATACAATAGCATAAATTAGAAATAAATAAGTACCCAACATTGAGGCAATGGTTAATTGTGGTTTAATAAGTCACTAAAATCTATCTAGTTTCTAAAACCTATAATTATAGAAAAACAGGTAAAACATGGTGAAAAATGGAAGGTAAAATATGAAGTAAACAAAGAAAGAATAGAGAATTGTATGTATGCTATGATTGTAACAAAGTAAAAATGTTCACATAGCAGTACAGATTGAAAGGGGATATATGAAAATGAATATAATGTCTCTGAATGATTCATTTATGGATTTTTTCTTAAGAATTGTATTAAATAGTTCACACTTTTAGTGTAAAAGTTAGAATAGATTAAAAGGGTGTAGATGTCTTTTAAAAGTCACTAAATGCCATTGATCTTCATCTGGAATATTTTTTTGGACACTTTTTGTATTTTTAAGATATCTCCCAAACAACAAAGCTATTTATGCCTTGGGAGGAAGAAAAATGAAAAAGAAAAAAGCAAAAAAACCCAAAACAAAACAAAACAAAAAAACAAAAAAAACAAAAACAACCCCCCCCCCCCCAAAAAAAAAAAAACACACAGAACTAACCAAATATGCTGATTTTTTATTCAGGCCTGAAATTTCTGCGAATAAGACATACTCCTTTCTAATTTACACGGAGGTGGATATTGGGGAACTGCTAATGTTGAAACTCAAATGGAAGAGCGATTCATACTTCAGCTGGTCAGACTGGTGGAGCAGCCCTGGGTTTACTATTGAGAAGATCAGAGTAAAAGCAGGAGAGACTCAAAAAAAGTAATTAAATCAATTTCTTTCCATTCACGTTAGGCTTACCCTGTCATTACCTTGGGAGGGTACTCTTGGAGCCTTCAACGTTCAGGTGGAACTTTAGTAAGCTTTGTATTTAAAACTATATCATCTAGATAATTACACCTATAATTTGGGGGAGGAGTGTTCTTTTATTATCATTACTAGGGAAGTAATAGTATTTCTGAATTTCATGAAAGAAAACATAAGCCCTGAACTGGTCACGATTATTGACTGAGAGCTGAGATGAGGATCTCAGCTTCTATTTTAGCACTGTTTCTTTTTTTCAATGTATGAAATTTATTGTCAAATTGGTTTCCATACAACACCCAGTGCTCATCCCAAAAGGTGCCCTCCTCAATACCCATCACCCACCCTCCCTCCCTCC